TACTCCTTCTCCCGGGTGGAATGACGAGGAAGGCGAGCCACGTTAGCGGCGTAAGACGAGCCCTGCTCGCGCCTTGCGGACCCCATGTCCGTTTCCTGCCCTCTCATCACCTGAGGGACGTGGTGTCATCACCAATGACCGCGACGAGACACAGAGGCGGCAGCTTAAAGCTGCCCGTAAGGCGGCTCTGATGCGCGCCTATCCACTGTCAGACATTGACTCTCGTGTGGAATATGGCTTCCGCCCGGCGGTTCCCGCTGTTGAAGCAAAGAACGCGGTAACTCGATCGTTACGCATCCACATCAACGGGCCCCCGGCCATTACGGAAGCTGGGCTTGCCGAACGGAAAGCTCTTCGAGCTCGTTTCTTGGTCCCAAAGGAAAATTTCGTAGGACGTTTATCGCACTCGTCTGAGTGCTCAACGAGGTGGCTCTCGTGTACCCCCAATGCGGACGAGACCTGTAGTGCTCGCTCCTGGCAAAAGCGCTACAGATGACAAGGTGCACTTTGAGCGATGGGTGCAACGGCACCAAAAACTTTCCTCACTGTATGCCTTATGATGAACCACAAGGAAGTGGACGTGCGTTTGGAGCGACACATCCGATTTGAGTTTGCCACACCCAAAGCACGCCGTCGACTCCCCTCGGATTGTCGCCCTGCGACGTATGGGTCAACTTCTAACGCTCCCGCGAGCTCTGTGTCTGCGACCGCAACCCGCTTGAGCTCAGCTCATGGCTCTTCTACTTCCCTGGCTATTGCCGGGAAGTCGCGAGGCGTCTGATGACGCGGGACGTCCTGATAGTTCCGATCAAGGCGACTGGGCAATCTTGCCGAGGTGGCGCCTCAAACTCCCACAAGTTTTCAAAGTCGGGACACCCCCGCCACTTCATAAGATATTGGGTCTGACCCTGGTGACGACGTCGTCCAGCAAGACGTTCCACGTGATAGTGGACGTCACCGTTCTTATCGAGAAGAGTCGGTGGCGGGTGGTGACGAAGATTCGACCGCCGCCCGGTGACTCGTGATGCTCTACGAGCCCTTGAGAACGAGGTCCGTCGTGATCGACGCTCCGCTGAGCGTCATGCTGAAGTGGCATATCGCTGTGCGGACGCTCGTGACGATTTAAAGTACGTCGTGCGCCAGATACATCACCTTGAGGACTACCGCGCTCTGTTGGAGCGACTCCTAGCCGTGGAGCAGGCAAATGCGTCATTGCATCCGACGGTGGAGCGCTTGGCGCCATTAGAAATGGAGGTTGTTGCACTCCGTGCTCAGATCCAATGCTGGTTCAGCTTCTGGGTGGCCCAGGACCCGTGGGATCCATTCCGGAGCCAACGCTTCCGCTTAACTAGCGCCGGATCCCAGTACAGCATGAGCAAACCCACGTAAAACACCGGGTGGGTGCGCATCCATTTCGGAAGGTTCAGCGTATACGCCAGGCCCCGTTTGGCCACAACCTTAAACGGTCCGATAAACCGTAAACCAAGCTTCGTCCTGAAGATAGCAGAGGCTGCATGTGTAGGCAGGTTTTAGAGTTTAAAGAAAACAGGACACCGACCTTAAAGCTTTCCACTTTGCCTATTCATTTTTCCTCTGCATATTCTTTCTGCAGGTCTTGGCTTTCAGCCATCACATCGCGAGCGTGTCGTAGAACACTCAGTCTGGTAGACAAGAAGTCACCGACTTCTTTGCGGATGGAGAGGGGGCTGCCTTCAGCTAGCCGTTCAGCAATTCTACACCACCAACCCTGAGCCATTAAATGGCGGCGGTGAACCTGCCCGTTCACGTAGAACGGCGAGTAGCCGGTAGACGAATGCACTGCATTGTTCTGTGCAAAATCTACGAGTGGCAACATGGCGCTCCAGCGCCTCGGCGTCTCAGCACAGACGCTGCGGAGAACGTCTTCGACGACGCGATTCACCCTTTTGGTTTGACCATCGGTCTGCGGATGATCCGCTGTCGACATATCCAACTTGGTGCC